AAGAACAATAAACTCTAGATAAAATAAACTCGGATAAACTTAAGGACCTATATCTGTGATGGGGAACCTATGGCACATGTGCCCAAAGCGGCATTGCCCGTTCCTCTTCTGGGTTCCTGGCTGGCATGTGCTTGCGACAATCAGCTGGCTGGCGCTCATGCTCACCCCAGGAAACGCAAGACCAGCTGTTTCAGTTTCTAGCAATGCCATACACATGAAGGCCAACTGATTGTCGCAAGCACATGCCAGCCAGGAACCCAGAAGAGGAACGGGCAATGCCGCTTTGGGCACATGTGCCATAGGTTCACCATCACAGATATAGGTCTTTAAGTTGATCCGAGTTTATTTTATCTAGAGTTTATTGTTCTTAGCAAAGTTGGATTATGGTGTCTCTGATGAGGCTTTTGCTGTTTCTGAATCCTTACTTGGGAGGGCTGAGGAGATCATTAGTAAATGATGTCATGACTTGGCTGGGATCAGTTGAGGCAGCGAAGGCTGGTTTATAATATAAACACTTAAAATGTTTATCATAGGTTTTGCCATTTTCCATATTTGTCAAGTAATCTTGAAGAGAATGAAAGGTTTTCTGGTACAGCATAGTAACTAGAGAGATTTCCATAAAAAGGCACAGAGAATGCTTTCAGGAACAGAAGATTTCTCAGTTGGCAGTGGCAAGTGAGGCCTGACCTTGTACAGAGGAAAAAAATGTCTTAAATCACTCCCTGTTGGGAATATGAAAGCAATCCTAGTTGCTTGCAGCTCGCTACTATAATTTTATTGCTCAATGGCACATACTTCTGTGCAACTGAAGGTGGAAACATAAATTATGTAAGTGAATATTAATGCATTTGAAAGTAAAATGCTAATGTCTTGGAATTCAATGTAGCCGTTTTACTGATTTCTACAAAATTTTAATGTGCCAGGGCTGTATTCAAACTATTTGATTTCAAATAACAGAGAATATATCTCTATCAATGCATAGAAATTTTAGGGTAAAACATATATAATTTGTTTTATCATAGTTATAAATATATATTGCTCTTTTAATCTGAAGTCTGTTCAAATCTATAAGGAGCTCCATCTTGCTGTATGCACCTGTGATTTTTTTTAACCCAACAGTCTTTCAGGGTTCTTACTCAGATAGAAACTGGTGCCCAGGTAGGTTTTGAAAATGTCAACCATATATAGTTGGGTACTTGCTAAACTGGCAACATCATCAGTGATGTGAACTTCATGGACAGTGGGATATATCAGGGACGTGTACTCACTAGAGGCAGGGGAGGCGAGGCCTCACCAGTCTCCTCAGGAAAGGAAGGAATTTTAAAGACTTTTTAAAAAAATAATTAAGGCCAAGCTAGTTGCTAC